GATGTGACCAGAATGAACATTAAATTTTAGGCTGACCATATTTTTTTTACCCCAATGCTGGTCGGTCTCATGATCATCTAAGAAGAGGATATATCATAAATAGAAAAATAATTGTAATGGCAAATGAACTTCAATAATAAGTCAATATTTACTTGCCTAAACATATAAACAGAATGACCACAGGTGAGCAAAAAAGCAGTGAGAGAAGAAGCAACTTCCAACTTCCTGCCGGCTTCCCCATTTACTTTGCTTGTGGGAAGCTGGCAGGGTGCTTTGGAAATCACCATCGTGTGACCGCCGGGACCCTGCAGTGGCCACAGCTTTGCAAATAAAATGTGTCTGAACATTGTGTAAATTTCAATTCCACAGGAGTAATGGGTCCTGGATTTTTTACTCATTCTTTAAGTTAGTGGATTTTAGCTACCTTGATTCAAAAATTGTTGCAGTATAATGCACCATTTGGGCTAGCTTCAGGGTGCAAACAGACAAACAGATAAACACAATGGGAGTTTTAGTAGTATATAGATAGTTAGATACCTTTTTTTTTCCCTTTGGTGCCTTCAAATCATTGATGACTCTTGATGACTGCCTGGACAAGTCTCTGCAGTTTTCTTGGCAAGATTTCAGAAGTAGTTTGTCATTGCCTCCTTCCTAGGGCTGAGAGAGAGTGACTGGCCCAAGTTCACCCAGCTGGCTTTGTGCCTAGGTGGGACTAGAACTCACAGTCTCCCGGTTTCTAGCCTGGTGCCTTAACCACTACACCAAACTGGCTTTCTAGTTAGATACATACACAGATATTTAAAGTTACACATTTTGCTATCATTTTGAAAGTATAGACTGCACATAATGAGATCTAAAATTCTTGCTGTGGCCATTGCAGGGTCCCAGTGGTCACGTGATCGTGATTTTATTTGGGCCAGTCACAAAAATTCACGGGTGGAAGTAGTGTACCTTGATATAAATGCTAAGCCTTATTGACTAACCTTTTCTTCTGTGACAGTGATACTGGCGGAACACTTTTGCACATTGAAACTGGCAGAATATTGAAAGGAATTGCAACATGTTATGTTGGGGAAATGCATCTTTTGGACAACTTGGATTGGGGGGTATTGATGAAGAGATTGTCCTGGAACCCAGAAGATGCAGCTTCTTTGTAAACAAAAAAGTTCAAGATGTAGGCTGTGGACTGAGGCATACTGTGTTTGTCTTGGATGATGGGACTGTATATACCTGTGGATGTAATGATTTAGGACAATTAGGTCATGAAAAATCTAGGAAACGACCAGGTAAGTTTAAAAAATAATGTTGGTTGGATCTGCACAGTTTTGATTCTGTATTTTGGTACCAGTTTTGTATGCTTGAATGCTTCTAAATAATTTGCAGCATCAAAATAATTTATAATTTATATTTATAGAACTTTGCAACATTTTAGCAAAGAATGCTTATGTAGGGATGTTAAGAGTTTGAAAATACTATATTTGAAGAATTTTATCTACAACCAGTATTCTTATGTTTAAGTCTTTCATGGTGGTATCTTTTATCTTGGACATCATTTTGAAAATGTATGATTTACACCAGGAAAGATATATAATGCTCTTAATGTGGACGGGGCTGATACAGACTCATTTTCATCTTATGAAATGT